TTCGGGTGTCTGCAATTTGGTATCCATGGACCCAAAACATAAGGATTACTTTTTTAGTTTGATCGATGTCTCTGAGGTTTGGGGAGTTGGTCGACAGCACAGTAAGAAACTACATGCCATGGGTGTGCATACCGTTCAGGATCTCACACGAACTGAGCCGCGCAATATGAAAAGCCTCTTTTCTATTGTTATGGCCAAGACGGTAGCTGAGTTGCAAGGTATTTCCTGCATAGAGATTGAACATGCCCCACCCGCTAAAAAACAAATCATCTCATCGAGGTCGTTTGGCCAACGTGTAATGGATAAAGAATCTTTGTCTGAGGCAATGAGTGATTACCTGCAGTCAGCTGTTAAACGGCTACGTGAAGACAAAAGCTTATGTGGCTGTGTGATTGCTTTTGCTGAGTCCAATCCATTTGATAAGAATAAGCCCTTTTATAAGAAATCAATCAGTGTTGGTTTTGCTGAGCCCACTGACTCTGCTGCAGTCATGAATAAAGCAGTGATGAAGCAAATGGATGAACTGTTTCAAGAAGGCGTTGAGTTTAAAAAGTGCGGCGTGATTTTAACGTGTATTGAGAACAAAGCTGCATATATTCCAGACTTACTCAGTGATGTTGAATCTATAGAGCGAAATGAGAGGCTAGAGCTTGCAATGGAAGGTGTAAAAGAAAGGTTTGGGGATAAGAAGCTTGCGATCGGACCTTGTAAATTACCGAATCGCGGCTGGTCGATGAGTCGGGGAAGCTTTACAAGGTATTATTTTAGCTGGGAAGGGATGTTGACTATAAATAATTGAAATAATGTTTAACACTAGAGCGCATTGCCAGTTCATACCTCTATGAGACAGCGTGGGGAGTTTTGACGGGGTGTGGATGTTGTTGGAAGATAGAAATACTGATATAAGTTTTTTATTTTTAGAAGAATATGAAATTTAGTCGCTTAGTTTCTACCATTATTCTAGCAACTACATTTGCATGCATTTTTTTATTTGTATGTGTCTTTTGGTTTTATTCGAGTGCTGACAGCAAAACACTAGGTTTGCTGAAAGATTCTCTTTCTACAACTTCTGGTTTTTTTGGTGGTATAACAACCCTTATTGCTGCATATATCGCGTCTAGATTATTTAATGACTGGAAAGAAC